AATCTTTGAAAGTGAAAACACGTTCTGGACGAATTTCACGGCCTCCAAAATATAAAGCTAAAGATTACAAATTCATTAAAACGGAGGATTTAGCTGATGGTCATCAGTCTGATTCCGATGACTATTCTGAACTAAGTGTTGAAGAAGATGAAGAGGGAAAGGCAGAAGGAATGGATGCTTTGTTCAGTGTTTCAAATTACAATCTGAAACCCAAAAAGTTTAAATGTCAGACTTGTGAGAAATCATATATAGGCAAGGGAGGATTAGCGCGACATTATAAACTTAATCCAGGTCATGGACAACTGGAGTCTTCACAGCAAAAACTACCTTTGAATAAGACTAATGGAAGTGTGTTTGTGTGTGTGGAGAATGCTGGAGGAACAGAAGATGGAAGTGCGAGTCCGATGCTCTCAGAACAAACTACTGTCACTTTAAATAATGAAAATGCACTAGCCAGTGGTTTTGAAGAAACTGCTTCCTCAGAGGGTGAACAACAGGTAAAGGAGTACTTTTTTCTGGGTTATACTCCATTTCATAAATAGTATAGTTACAATTTTACATCCAGATAAGTTGCAGTTTTAGAACCATGTTACAGTACTTGTTATATTTTTATTTGTGTGTTGATACTGCTTTCAAAACTAAGAACACTGTCAGACTTAGATGCACAAAGTTAATGGTAAAAACCAGTTTCTGGAACTGAGGAACAGAAGAAAAAAAGAACACTTCATGTTGATTTTGTTATATAGATTTAGTTAATCTGTGCAGCAGTTAAAATACTCTGGTGATGGAGACTTCAAAATAAATGAAGATAATTTTTTGAGTTACATTTTGCTGTAAAATCTGCAGAGTTTTTGATTTGACCAATACAGTGCTAATTTTTTGTCCCCACATATTTATGTAGAAAATGAGCCACACAAACTTGCCCCTCTTAACTTCCCAATTTATATTCTACAAATAGACTTATTTTTGAACACTTGAGATGCTATCAAGATGAATCATAGAATCATTGAATCATAGAAAATGAGGGTTGGAAGGGACCATAGGAGGTCATCTAGTCCAACTCCCTGCTCAAAGCAGGACCAGCCCCAACTAGATTATCCCAGCCAAAGCTTTTTCTAGCTGGGTTTTGAAAGCCTCCAAGGATGGAGCTTCCACCACCTCTCTGGGTAACCTGCTCCAGTGTTTTACTCCCCTCCTAGTGAGAAAATTCTTCCTAATATCTAACCTAAACTTCCCGTGTTGCAACTTGAGACTGTTGCTTCTTTTTCTGTCATCTGTCACCACTGAGAACAGTCCAGCTCCACTCTTTCGAACACCGCTTCAGGTAGTTGAAGGCTGCTATTAAGTCTCTTCTCAGTCTCTTTTCCAGACTAAATAAACCCAATTCCCTCAGCTTCTCCTCATATGTCCTCCAGCCCCCTCACCATATTTTTTGCCCTCTGATGGACTCTTCAGTTTGTCCACATCTTTTCGGTAGTGGGGGACCTAAAACTGAACACAGTATGCCAGATGTGGCTTCACCAGTGCTGAATAGAGGGGAAGAATCACTTCCCTTGACCCACTGGCAACACTCCTACCAATGCAGTTCAGTATGCTGTAGCCTTCTTGGCAACAAGGGCACACTGCTGGCTCATATTCAGCTTCTTGTCCACTGTAACCCCCAGGTCCTTATCTGCAGAGCTGCTGTCCAGCCAGTCAGGCCCCAGCCTGTACCAGTGCATGGGATTGTTCTGTCCTAAGTGCAGGACTTTGCATTTGTTGATGACATCTTTGGGCCACAAAAACAGTACTTCTATTAACACTGCAGGTAGATAAGTGGGGTGGCAGCAATGGTCCATGCTTCAAACTAAAGCTCAGTTAAAATTAATTTGGTACTTTTTCTCTATCCTCTGAATAAAACTGCCAACAATTTGGGAAGGCCATGTTCATTGGCATATCAGGAGTTATTGAAAATAAAGGTTCAAATGCATTAAAAGAAAGTTTGAACTACTGTACTTTGATCTATCATTTTATAAAAATCTAAATCTTTGGGACACTCACTTCACTTGCATTATTTCTCTTACACTAGCTAAAATAAAATGGCTTTCATTGAGAGATCCTTGGACTCTGTTTTGCTAGCTGTCTCTGAATGCGTTGTGTATTTCGGAGTCCTTGTAACTTAATTTGGGGTAATAGCTCTTTTTGTATTCCTGCACTCAGGTTATCTGTTTCTGCTAGTGCAGCTGATTTTTCCATTTGCATTGTGACCTCAGTAACATTTTTAAAATTGAGAAATGTAAGATTCAGGGTATTGTAAACTTGAAGACCATGTGGGCTGTCCACTGAAACGTTTTTGGGGAAGGCTGCTGATAGGCATCTGGACCTCATGAATGAGTGTTTCTGTTTCTTTGATTTGCTGTCTAAGTTAGGTTGGGTGTGGAGACATGTAACACTTGAACTGTTCCAAAATGTCACTGATTGGATAATACTGGTTCACAGCGGTCATAGGGCAGTGTGTGGGTACAAGTACAGTGTTCTAGCATTCCCACTGGAATGGTTGCCTTTTAGATGTTGAAGTGCTGTGACTCCAACAACGACAGGTAGAAGTGAATACACAGTACAGCATGTCTCAGTGGGTGACTGGGGAAGGGCTGTGGTGGGTAGTTCTTGTACCCATACTTTAGGGATCCTAGGGGGTGTTTTCACTTACCCTTCTCTTCTAAGCATAAGTTCAGTAGCTTTTGCTTGACCCAACTTCACATTATTCTTGCTTGGCTTGTGGTGCCCAGGAGGAAGGGAGTGCTTGGATCCAAGTTTTTGGGTTTCCAGCGGCTGGGGGGCAGGGAGGGAGGGGGCATGATGAAGGGCCATGGTGTAATAGGGACTGAGAACAAGCTTTTTTTTATTGACCAGGCAGTGCAAGGGAGCTCATTGACTAGAAAGTGAAAACTAAAAAGGGGGAGAGAGGGGAACATGCAGTAGAGTTCTGTCTGTGTACCAGAGAGGCCAGTTACAACAGTGAGGGACTGAGGAGCAATGCAGTGTAGGATGCCCGGACACATAACGTTGACCCACTTCAAAAGAGTACTAGATTTTACAGATGTACTTTTGAACCATTCCAGACAGCTTTAAATTAGTTCAACAAGCTTGTACATCTGTCCTAATTTTTGTTATCATTTCTGATTATGCATCTAGTATTGCATCTATAATGAGTCTGTTATGCCAAATCTTAATGTTGAAGTCCTTGTCTTCTTATAAGACTAATTATGATGGCAACCAGAGATTTTTGCCTAGTGTATCTAACTGTTAGTTTGAAGTAATTATCTATAACCATTTTGTTTTGTAATTTAAAAAAGTTATGGTGGGTGGATCCTACAGAAGCAGCTGCATTTCTAGCCTCTCTGATTTTACCCAGTACCTATGCTTGTATCTAACAGTACTGGCATTGTATAGTAAATGAGACTGTGAGGCTTAATAATTTCACTAGATACTTCTTTGGAGAAAGGAGAAAAGGTTTAACTACTCTTGTTTTACCTTTGTTAAGACTGGCAAATCTTCTGAAGACAAACATTTGTTGGCAACACAGCAAACTGAGTCTGGATTAGTACGCCGGGAACCTGGAATGCCAAAAGGACCTGGAAGACCCAGGCGGCCTAAAAGACGTGGCCGGCCAAGGATGGCTGGAAGATCAAGGTGTTCAGGAAGACTTAGTAGGTCTGGTCGGTCCCCTTCAAAGTCGCTCAATAATGTGTCGACAGACCATGTATTTAGAAGAAAAGCTAGGTTAAAAGAGGTAGGGTTCTCTTTTGCAGTTGCTTCATATGTATCAATTTGTTCACTTGCTTCTAAACTGACTTTGTTTTTGGCAAGAATAGTTTTCAAGATGTTGCTGTGTGTTTGGCTTTTTGGAAATTTTTAAATTGGCATTTAACCCAAACTTATTGATCAAGTTTATAAAAGGCATTGTCTTTTGGCACAAGTGGCTTCTTAGTATTGGAGTGTTCTTGGTAGTCATGTTTTGTGGGGGAAAAATTACTGGAGCCACTGTCACCATGTATATGATTAAAAATATGCCCAACCAGAAGCGAGCAAACTTGAACAACCTTAAATTCATTTAGATTTCTTGTGCATTATGTTTTGAAGTTTTATTTGTAGTTTCATAGTTTTAATTGGTAAGGTTTACTTTTCTTTCTTTTTAGACTTGATATTATTACAGACTTGATTGGACACTGAACATTAGCTTCTGGTTTGAACAAAGTAGACAAGACCCTTTACAACTGCTCTAAACTTTGGCAATCAACTCTTTTATTTTTAATGTTTATATTTACTCCTAAAGTTACTTAATTTTATTGATCTTGTAAGGGGCAGTGAATTGATTGCTGATACGTGGCATTTCTTATAAAGACTGCTTTACAGGAACTGGAGATTTACACTCAGCTTCATGTCCTCATAATAAAACACGTGCATTCATCATCCAACTATTTTTCCTACCCCTCCTGTATCTTATTGTAGAAAACAGAGGCATCACATTATGATTTACAGGCTGCTTAGCTTCTGTAGACCCTCTTCCTAAAGAAGTTGTTCTGGTCCTTAACAGATAATCCAACAATGTGACAATGAAGACTTAATAGAGCTGGCACTGCCACGCCTTGCAGAATTTGTGACTGTGTATGAATTTTTATTGATGAAGGTGAGGTTTTTTTCCTTTATCATGTACAATTATTTCTTTCTTTCAATATGTTGGATGCTGCTTTTTGAGAGTTTCATACTCAGTCAAGTGAAGAGTCAGTACTTAATGGGATTCCAAGGGTGAACTCTAAAGGCTCAGTTTAAAAATCTTACTTGTTGCAGCTGCTTCTTAGGCAATATTTCTGGAGGCATCAGAGTCCTCTTCTCTTCTTGTGTGGTCCCCAAAGTTAGCAAAATTAGAATGAAGAAAATAATGGTTGGACAAAATGAATTAATAATGTATTTTATTTGTTAGTTTAATTCATCTTATTTCATGCACAAAAATATTTTCTGCTTATTTTTATTTAGGTTGAAAATGGTTGCCCAGCAAGAGCATTTTTCCCAGATGTGTACAAGGAATTTGAAGAGTTACATAATATGATAAAGAAAATGGCTCAGGACCATCTCTGCAGTTCTGATTTTCTGTGTTCCCAGCAGCCTATTGAAATAAAATATCCCAAGGTAATAAAAGACACATTTTGGAATTGCTTTGTGTTCAGCTGTGTTCTACATCTTGCTTGTTCTTCACTAAAACACTATAGCTTAAATAGTGGTGCTTGAACAGAACACTGATTTTTTTTTAAATGTACAAAAATGGAGATCTGTGCATACTGAAAAATAAATAACTGAAGACCTGAAGTAACACTTCACTCAGTAATCAGGAGTACTTGAGTAAACTACAGTCTCAGCTTATACGTGAACACAAACAGCTTAAATTCAAAACATACTAAAATGAGTCCAACAAGGCCAAACCCTGGTCCTACCCACCTAGATGTCTGGAGTATCATGAAGATGTGTGAGAGTGTACTTTGTATTGCTAAGCATGGTTCTTAGACAGTAGTGCTAACATCATCCTGTTCTGTGTTTGTTTAGAAAAGAAATGGGTGTGGTGTGAAGCGTTTATCCCGATTAGTAAAATAAGTCCCCCTCTGTGTCTGCCAGAGATGGGAAAGGCCCCCTAATGCTTGTTTCCAGTAAACATTACTTAGTTTCCAAACTCCCAGCAATTGACCAGCTACATGGAGATTAGGTGAAAGTTTTCATTAAATTATGAAATTTGGTGAACTCTTTAATATAAAAAAGCACTTAATAAAGACCACTTCAACAGCTCTTACACATTTTAGTGCATCTTTGTCCAGTTCATAATGTACACTTGGTTAGAGAAATTCAAACGTGGCCATCTCTAATATTTGATCCTGTAGCTTGGAATGAAATGGCTGGATGACTAATATATATTGCTTGGTTTAGCATACTGTTCAGTTTCCAGCAGTGAATCACACAGTTTGTAACACATTATTGCCAGCGAAACATTTTAAGTGCAGATATTTTGAGTGCTTCATAAGGTGCAAGACTCTCCATCCAGAAGCTTATGGTTTAAAATGAGATGCAGATATGACAGTGAACATACTGGAAAGCCCAAGGGAGGGAGAGAAGAGGAAAGTATTTTTACAATAAGAGTAATTCTACAGAAAAATGTAATTCATTATGCAGTTTTTAGCACTAAGTGAATATTTATCTGTTTTTCAGAATAACGTATGATATATTTGAAATGTGTACCAGAAGTTTGCCTTATTATTGTGTGTGTTCATCTGACTCTATCTCTTATGCTCAACAGGGATGTTTCTTCTATGGAGAAATTAAATTGTACCAATGTAAAGGGGATGTTTTCAAAGTTGGTAGGCACCAAGTTACTTTTCAAACACATGTTGTCATGCTCTTTTAACAAAAGTAAACCATAATGGGAAACCCTATAGTGACAAATCAATGTATTCACTAAATAGAGTGAAACTTAGTAAGAGAACACACTTAGTCCCCAGCAACTAAGGGATGTATGGATAAAGAATTCTCCCTGTCTTGTATTAAATTATGAAATAGCCTTGACAGTGTTCTTAACAATCTATTTTTCATTCACTGATAGCTGTTATATAGGTTAGAATTTGTTGACATGGAGGCTAGTTGTAGGAGTGGCTGTGGTATAATATATTTATACCCATACCTATCAGTTTGACTGGATCCCAGTATGCACATCTTTTTAGACTGGTTTTAGGAACATAACTAAATAGAAAAATACTGAAAATTTGAGAAATCACATTTAATTATAATTGTTTTACAGGTTGCTGAGTCACTAGGAATTACAGAAAAAATTATTGAAAAACAAACACAAGCTGCAGATTCTTCCCAACAATGTACTGTTAAAACAATGGTTGAGCAAGTGCCTGCTGAAATATTGGGACAAAAAAGAGTAATTGAGGTATGGAATATTTGTGACATTAATATGTAAATTAAGACCTACACATTAAAACTGATTTAAAATATACTAATAGCTAAAGCTGAGTGACAATATTTGGACTCTTTAAAGGGATGTCCCATAAGCAACTCTGTTTTGAGTTTGTAAATACTTAAAGATGCTCCAACTTAGTCCTATTTAAAAGACATCACAGAATGTAAGAGTTTTGTTGCGTATCCCCTCGCTCACTGTTTAAGGCAGGCCAAGGTGGCATCTTAGAGACTTAACTTACTCAGAAATACATAAGCTTTCATAAGGGACAGCCTACTTCTTAGATGTGATAAATGGACTTCCAGAGGGCAGGGGTATTGAATAGAATAAGGTAATTTTAAGTGGAAAGGATGGGGGAAAGGGGCACTGCTGAGAAGGAGTTGCATTGAGATTGGAAGATAAACAGCAGCTAACCTATTGAGGGACATAAGCATTAAACAAAAAATCTACTCTAGGTAAGGGAAAAGACTCTGGAGTCTCTATTTAGACCATACATAACACAATCCAGTCAGTGGATGATTTCTTGTTCTGCAGTTTTGCATTAAAGCCTGTTCTTAAACCAAACTTTAAATACAGCTACTCTGAGGTCAGTGGTGGATAGTCCAGGGAGATTCAAGTGTTCCTCTATGGGTTTTTGGTGTCTTTCTGGAATTGAGGTCAGATCAATGTCCATTCATTCTTTCTTCCTTTTGCCCCTATCTTTTGTATTTAATCTTTTCTGTTTAGTGCTTCTGCTCTTTGCAAGTCTTGACTAAATAGGATAGTACCTATAAAAGCCCATGCCTCGCTTAATAAATTAGTCTCTAAGGTGCCACCCTACATTGCCTTCTGCCTGACTTTAGACTAAAGTGGCTAAGAAACTCTCACTGCTGAAGGGTATGGTCTGGTCAGGATCTTGCAGGCTTCCATGTTGTATCCTTCTGCGGTGGAGAAGGACTCCGCCAAGTGGATATCGGGGTTTGGGGACTTCAGGTTCTAGTATCTTTGCTGTAGAAGACTGGTTAGCCAATTCAAGTTATGGGGAGAAGTAGATGCACCAGCTGACTTAGTGGCTAACAGAGGTGCATGTAAACAGCCCTTTGGCTAGCCTCATCTTCTCAAGAAGAGCCACGCGCGTGATCAGAGGTCAGGAAAACAGACCTTATGACGACAGGCTGAGAGCCATGGGGCTCTTTAGCCTGGAAAAGCACAGACTTAGGGGTGATATGATGGCCACCTATAAGTTTATCAGGGGTGACCACAAGTATCTGGGGGAACGTTTGTTCACCAGAGCGCCCCAAGGGATGACGAGGTCGAACGGTCATAAACTACTGTGAGACCGTTTCAGGCTGGACACGAGGAAGAATTTCTTTATTGTCCGAGCCCCTAAGGTCTGGAACAGCCTGCCATCGGAGGTGGTTCAGGGACCTACACTGAACATCTTCAAGAGCAAATTGGATGCTTATCTTGCTGGGATCCTATGACCCCAGCTGACTTCCTGCCCTTTGGGCGGGGGGCTGGACTCAATGATCTTCCGAGGTCCCTTCCAACCCTAATGTCTATGAAATCAAAAGCCTACTTGATCTGTTGTCTGTAGCTGTAGTAGAGAGGTTTCCTTTCTCCCTCTGGTGGTAGCATTTATTTCTCCTCACCGTCAAACCTCAGTCCAGCACTGTCTTTGGTACTAAGGGTAGCTCGTTTCGTTTTTTCTGTCTGTGCTTAAACTTGGTACTGGTCAGTTTTCCCATCCCTATCTGAACTGCTCGGTAAAGGGCTGTAAACTCCCTGTCCTGAAGCTGGAGAGGAGCAGGAGGTACCCTTCCTAGATGATCCCATCCATAATCTTGCCAGTAAGGTTCCTCTGAGAGAAGACCTTTAGTAATTACTTTTCCTTCATGAAAACAGATACCAAAACTAATTAAAAATAAATTTAAAAAAATGGAAAATGTACCACCTTATGTTAAGAATTTTCTTTCATAACCTCCTTTGTAGCAGAATCCTACTATGTTGTAAGTGACAGTTCATTATTATGTTTGTCCCAGAGTTCATACTGGAAAAATGTCACAGTTTGTCAGTATTTGTAAGTAACATCAAATTAACTAGTTCGTATGTTGACAGAATTCAGGTGGGGAACTGTTGCCATCAGCCAAGAAGACCAAAGTAGAAGACCCATCGGGGAATATGGATGATGTTTATGCTAATCAAAATGGAGTAAAGCAGAAGAGTGGGAACTTGAATACACTGACTATACAAGATGGTAATGTTTTCCTTCTAACTTGCCAGCAGTCTGTTCTTTGTGGAACTGAACTAATTCCTTTATCTTGCACTTCTTGCCCATGATAGGCTGCCTTAATTTTTAGTTTTACATGCTGCTTTTTTTTAGGTTGTTGAGTAATAACTGTTCAGCTGGAAAGGTGGAGGGTTGGTGGGAGTGCAGATAAGAGTTGTATGGGATACATACTTTTGTGTTATCTTTGGTCTTATGTAGCTGTTCCTTTGTTGATGGTACAGAATCCTTGCTGCTGTTCTTATTTTCTTTACATTAGATTTTCTGTTGCACAAAAACAAGTGTGTATTCCTGTTAAATCTGAAGAGGGGAACTTGGTTAAATTTCATAGTTTCTAGGGTCGGAAGGGACCCGAGCAGATCATCAAGTCCGACCCCCTGCCATGGCAGAAAAGAGTACTGGGGTCAAACGACCCCAGCAAGGTGTTCATCTAACCTCCTCTTAAAAACCCCCAGGGTAGGAGCCTGCACCACTTCTCTTGGAAGTTGGTTCCAGACCCTAGCTGCCCTGACTGCGAAGTAGCGCCTCCTGATATCTAACTTAAACCTACCCTCTGCCAGCTTGTGACCGTTATTCCTGGTCACTCCT